AGAGAGAGAGAGAGAGAGAGAGAGAGAGAGAGAGGAGAAATGAGAGAATGTATGTAAGAACAAAGTTTCTAAAAAGCATTATATGTACATACAATGCTTATAAACATAAACAAATTCCAGCACTGATTCAACATTTGGAAGTGAGTCATATCAAGAGTAGCCCAACTGTCCCAACTGGGTACTTTTCATTTACAGAGGGATTAGCTAAAGAATAAGTGCTGGGTGGATTATGTTTACTAGAAAGAAAAGCTAACTTTAGACTACAGAGTCTTGGTCTAATGTGAAATAGCAATACGGAGTCAGGTCTAGATGTAAGGGTATTTATTTAAGAGGATCCTACTTACTAAGAACAGCCTAGCCAGCCGGCAGTGACCAAAGTAAGTAGAAGGGAAGCCACATGCATGTCCCTCATTCTTAAACCTTCCTCAAGTCACCCTGACCATGCCCAAGCAGACATGGCCAGGAACACCTGTCTCCAGCTCCAAGTGGGAGTGGCTAAGATATCCCCTACAATTCGCCTTTTATTCTAAAGAGGATTAAAACTTAACAGTGTAAAGTATCCATATTTAACAATTATAAGGGTGAAATACAACTAAATATAATAATCTGCTTATGTCACATCCTAACTATGTTTATTTCAACTAAACCCTAAAGTCATCTGAAAGAGATGTCCAAGCCTGGATACCTCCTTCCAATCCCAACCCTAAACAATAGGAAACTAGCCCTAACTAGGTATACATTATCCTTAGTGACAACAATGGGGAAAGGGGGGGTGTAGTATTCTCCAGGTTAGTTCCTGCAGAAATGGGCAGACCAAAGCCTCGTGGGGTCCTGTAGGAAGAAAATGTTAGTATAGTGAAAGTCTTGAGTGGATTGTATCCAGTCCGTGTTTGATGGGATTTGCTTGATTGAAGAGAGGTTTTTCTTTTTTGTTTTCTATGGATGATATATAAGAATTCTTTGCATTCAAGTAAATTCTTTGCATCGTTGTTTTTAGAATGTTCTTAACTTCATTTAAAAAACTGAAGCTATTGGGGTTGGCAGGAGGGAGGAGAATGGCCTTCACTGACAAGGATAGGCTTTCCTTTACACTTGGCCTCTGGACTGCTAGTGGTCAAGTCTGTCACAGCAATAGTCTCTCTATGCTGCTACCAACTTATCTTAGTTAGGGTTTCTATTGTTCCCACAAAACACCATAACCAAAAAGCAAGTTTATTGGCTTACACTTCAACATAGCTGTTGATCATTGAAGGAAGTCAAGACAGGACTCAAACAGGGCAGGAACTCAGAGGCAGGAACTAATGCAGAGGCCAAGGAAGGGAGCTGCTTAGTGGCTTGTTTCCCCTGGCTTGTTCGGCCTGATTTCTTATAGAATCCAGGACCACCAGCCCAGAGATGGCACCAACCACAATGGTTTGGGCCCTCCCCTATTAACCACTAATAGAGAAATGTCTTACAACTGGATCTCATGGAGGCATTTCATCAACTGAGGCTCCTCCCTCTCTGATGACTCTAGCTTGTGTCAAGTTGAGTCCAATCAGTACACCCTACCCTGTGATACAGTTGCCCCAGGTAGTATACAAATGGCATAAGTTCAGAGCCACTGCTGGTATCTCCCAGGAGTTCCACCCTACCTAGGCTATGACAGGCACTGCCATTATTCCTGGAGTCCCATCAAAGGAAGCTGCTGTAATTTCAGCCTACAGCTTCCACAGAAATCACAGGAGCTATCATTCCTTTAAATGATCTGGCCAAGCTATTGACAGTTCCTGCTATTCTACATACCCAATGATAGCTCCAGGAGACTTCACATCTGCTACTACAGCTTTGAAAGTCCCATGATCATTCCAGAAAACTTTTCTTGGTCTGCTGCATAATCCAGTTGTCACCAGTGTGGGAAAGATTTGCCTGAGCCATGCAGCCACCACTTCAGATATTCCCACTCTGGTCAGAAGAAGGAGAATCTCTCCCACCCATGACAGTTAGCAACAGTGTATGTGCAGGCTGCAAGACAGTGCAGAAACTGCAGACAGCAGAAAGAAGAGTGCAAATATGTGGACCTGCCCACCCCTCACCCATATATGCAACCTACCTCTTATTCTCACTGGGTCATGTGGAGACCTCCATCCTAGCATTGCCAACTGTATTCAGCATAGGGCCTGATAAAGCCTGCTTAACATGTTTTCTGCAGCTAACAACAGGGCTTCTGGGTCCAGAAAAAGCCTAGCAGCTAGACGGCAGCTGAAGTGCTCCAGACAGCTGCACAGAGCAAAGAACCAGCTGCTAGAAAAGCTGCAAGATTTGCCAAGAGAAGCAGGGAAAGACGCCATCTGCTGAGAGCTGCTATTACTTAAGAGCTCAGAGATGTGAACCCTAAGAAATGAGAGCCACTGGCACTCAAAGCTCAGAGCTGTAACAATAACAGAGCTGTAACCAGGTTGCAGTGACAGATTCTATTAAATGAGGTGGACTAACGAATGATGTCTAGCCTCCACATGCATATACACACACACTTGCACACACATGTGTATACACACTGGCTCACAGACACAAAGACTACAGAGTAAGTCACAAAGTACTATACTTAACAATTAAGTTTTTCATGCAAACTTTGACTATAGTGGAGAAATAATATTGATGCAGTGTTTTAAGATGGTAGCTATGTCAACAAAAAACACAAAAATGTTAATTCAGTGTTACCAACTGATCAATATGGAAAGATATTTTTCTAACAAAGGCTAAACCTAGCTCAACTAGGGTTAAGTTATAACGCAAATCCTGTAAATGACTGTTTAGCTGAAATCTAAAATACCAAGTCATCAATGCCCCAGCTGCTCAGGGTTCTGTATTTGGAAATCAAGTACTATTTTACTCCCTTAATCAAATCAGTGTATTTCAGACCATTTTGATTTTCCAAAATGTATGTATGTACCAGTGAGAGACAAGTCCTTCTACCTCACTCAATTATCTATCTTGATCAAATGAAGAAGGGATCTGTAAACAAATGAATATATTAAACTGTTTCAAGTAAAACATTCATTATCATACAATGACATAATCTTATATTTTAAAACAATAAGGACTTTTATTTTTGTTTAGACTGAGTAGCTGGTACTGAAATACTGTCCTGCCACAAACACCTATAAAAGCTGGATACATGTGTGAGGTGTATGTGTCTGTGCGTTGTGTATTTTTTTTAAAGAAGCAACAGACAATGTATGATCCTTGGGGGATAAAGAAACAGATGAACCAAGTTCTACATTGGTTTTGTTCTCATGGGCATTTCCTAAACAATGGTATAAGAAAGTACTGACCAAGAAGAGAGTAACAAGCAGTCTTAACTATGGTGGTAAAATGAAAAGTATAATTGGAACTACTAAAGCAGTTGAATTGTGTAGGCTATTAGAGAAGAAAGGGGCAAAGAAAAATAAGCTACAAAGATCTACATAAAAATTCTGCAGTATCCTCAACTGTGTTTTAGGGCAGAAAGAGATTCAGAGGTAGCATGATTCTAGGAAGATAAAGGACTCCAGATTCAATCAGAGGCAAGAGATTCTGATGTGCACCTGAGGCATGAGTTGAGAACCCAAACAGCCTATGCTCAGAGTAAGAATACAGTTACAACAACCCAAAGAAAGTGGATGGCATGCCTGAGGATTGTCTTATAGTATCCATACAAACTTATATTATCACATTAAAAATGAATAAGTAAATAAATAAATTGGAACTGGGAAGATGGCTCAGAGTTAAAGTACTAGCAAGTACTTTACAAGTATAAGAACCTGAGTTTGACAAAGTGAGCTATGTATTTGGTATACTATTCTTCTATTCCAACTACAGATTTGAAGTTTTTATAATAAAAAGGGTGTGTGTATCTTTGTATATATTACAAAGACATGTATAAAAACTTAAGAGCCCACAGTGGAAATAATCCAAACACAAACAAAGAAAAAATAGAATAACTAAGCAGAGATAGGAAAATGGATACACTATGGTATACTCATATAAAATAGCATGCAGCAATGAAAATGAATGAACTAGTACTAACATACCTCATAGGTGAAATTCAACAATGAACAACTGAAGCTAGATATTAATAACAAGAACAAACACTTGTTGGATGAATGTTTTTTCAGGCAATATTTATATAAGATCAGTCTTATTACTTATCTTTAACAAAAGTTATATTCACCGGTAGTACAAATAAGACTTTAGTTAAACATATTAGGAAGGTATTTAGGATAAGAAATTATTTTCAGGCACTGTCATGCACATTATAAAACCACCCGCATACTATTGATCTGTTCATGACTAGAATGCTCTGCTGTTTGTGAACAGTCAGTGGTCAGCATTTTTTCAAACATCTAGTTTGAATGAGCAGGCACAGTGGATATAAACTTGTATCAAAAAGACTTCCTTAACTAAAAACATTCAAACTGTACTCTAACTTAATGGTTTTAGTTTTAAAATAAATCTAAATTCAGACTAATATCCAAAGATGATGATGGTGATACTAAGGCAAGGAGGAGGAGAAAATAAATACTCACATTAACTCTGAAAGCCTGTACAGTGTTATCCAGAAGAAGAATGTTGCAAACCACCTCTGTATGCTGTCTGTCTCGGGCCAACTCTGATGCTCGAACATTGTAGGTTCTGCCAGCAGGCAATCGGAAACGTGCGGTCATTACTGTCCACACAAGATCTAGGTTTAAAAACCAAAATATCACTAAATAAAAGAGAAGATACAGTATAGCATAATAAAAAAGAAAGTTAATATGAATTTAAAATTAAAACAAATTACAGAAAACAATTACAAGCTGCCCATACAAGATCTAAGATTAAAAAACAAAAATCACTAAATAAAAGGAATAATGGAAGATATGATATAACTTTAAAAAATAAAGTTATTATACATTTTATATTAAAACATTGACAAAAAACAATTACAAGCTTTGAAACATCAAGATTAAGAAAATTAGGTAATATATATACACAGTCTAAGCTAAAATTACAAAACACCCTAAAGAACTTTATTTCAAACTGTTCTGAGAAGATTTAATGGGTAAAAGTTCCAGTAAGTCACACTGCAATCCAAAAATCTGTGCATGTAAAGGGAGGAAGGAATATGGGAACTCAGCAAGTGGGATGTTACTCACTGATGTGTTTTCTAAAAATATTGTAGGACAATAGGGGAGATTGTTTCATTTCAATCACTACTTTTTTCTTTTTTCTTTTTTTTTTGGGGGGGGGGTTGAGACAGTGTTTCTCTGTGGCTTTGGAGGCTGTCCTGGAACTAGCTCTTGTTGACCAGGCTGGTTTCGAACTCACAGAGATCCACCTGCTTCTGCCTCCCAAGTGCTGGGATTAAAGGCGTGTGCCACCACCGCCCGGCTTACTTTTTTCTCTTTATTTAAAAAATACTGTGGAATGAAAATGGTGAAGATCAATCTATTTCAACCAACTACTCCATCTTTTTTTTTTTTTACGGGGAAAGGGAGGTGTCAAGGCTTACTATGTACCCAGGTTGGCCTGGAACTCCTGCCTCAGCCTCCCAAACTGCTGGAATTATAGGCATGTGAGAAGCGTCTAGCTCTTTACAATTTTCCATTTTTACATACATGGAGAAAAAAAAATAGAACACCTACAAAAAACAAACACCATACTGCTGTAAATAATAGCATTAAAGACAATGAAACTGTACTTTCAAAGTTCTGAAAGAAAATTATTCAGAACACTGAATTCTATACCCAGAAAACTAATGGTCATATTAGAGAGAGAAAACAAAAACAAAATCATTTCAGGAATTCCATGACTCAAAATTTTTAAATTTATAAAGACAATACAATAAAGGAAATTGAGCAAGAAGAAACACAGACACTTGGGATATTATTATTTTTAGTTTTTCAAGACAAGATTTCTCCGTATAGCCCTAGCTGTTCTGGAGACCAGGCTGGCCTTGAATTCAGAGATCCACCTGCCTCTTTGGGACACAAAACAAAACTAAATATACTTAAGTAACTGAAATTATACTAAGTATGTTCCCTGAGAACAGAATTGAACTAAAAATTAACAATAGAAAAGTCTCTAAACACATGCAAGCAAAGAAAATAGAAACATTCTAAAAGTGCATGTGGGACAAAGAAGAAATCTTAAGGGAACCCAAAAGATACACAGAATTAAATAAAACAAAAATACAATATAGCAAAATTTGTGGATTACAGATATAGCAGCACTAATAAGGGAAATTTATAGGACTGCGTGAATATGAACAGATAGACGGACATGCCTCAAACCAATAATCTAGCCTCCTAAAGAACTTGCACTGAGGCGGTGGTAGCGCACACCTTTAATCCCAGCACTCAGGGGCAGGCAGATCTCTGTGAGTTCAAGGCCAGCCTAGCCTACAAAGCTATACAAAGAAACCCTGTCTCAAAAAAATAAATAAAAATAAATAAATAAATAAACAAACCTTTACAGAAAAAAAAAAAAGAGCTTGGACAGAGAGCTGGAGAGATAGCTCAGTGGGAGAGCATGTAGTGCTCTTTCAGGACCTGAGTTGATTCCCAGCACCCATGTCAGGTGGTTCACAACCACCTGCAACTCCAGCTTCAGGGAATCTGACACCTCTGGTCTCCTTAAAATATCTGCCACCCATGTGGCACATATACATACACATAATTAAAAAGTAAACAAATAAATGTCCAGGTACTAAACACAAGGTCACCCGAATTAAAAAATAAAAAAACAAAAACTTACTACAACTTAAATAGGGTATTAATCCTCACACAGTGATAGTTGGAGATTTCAATGACCACTTCTCATCAATAGACAGGTTATTCAGAGAAAAACTATACAGAGAAATGCTGGAGCTAACTAATGTATAAACCAAATGAGCCTAACAGATATTTATAGACCATTTCACCCAATAAAAAAAAAATCTACCTTCTTCTCAGCACCTCAGTAAACTTCCTCCAAAACTTACACATACTTGGACAAAAAGCAAGTCTCAACAGATGGAAGAAAACTGAAATAAGCCCCTACATCCTATCAGATCACCACAGATTAAAGCTGGATATCAACAACAGAAAGCTTACAAACTCATGGAAACTGAACAATTCTCTACTGAATGAAAAGTAGGTCAAGAAAGAAATTAAGAAAACAATAAAAAATGTTATAGAATTGAATGACTATGAACACACAGCATATCCAAACTTATATCAGGGTTATAGAAGAGGTAACTTCACAGCATTAAGTGCCTATATAAAATAAAATTGGCAAGACCTCATACTAGTAACTTAGCAACATACCTGAAAGTTCTAAAACAAAAAGAAGAAATCAACCCAAAAGGAGTAGACGGCAGAAAATAATCAAACTGAGGACTGAATAAATGAAAAAAAAAAAACTAAAAAATAATACAAAGAATCAATGAAACTAGAGTTGGTACTTTAAGAAAATCAGTAAGATTGACAAACCTTTATCTAAATTAACTAAAAGGCAGATAGAGAAGATCCAAATTAACAAAATAAGAAATGAAATGGAAGATTAATAGCAGACATCAAGGAAATGCTGAGGATCATAATGGCATACTTTCAACCTGTACTCTATCAAATTGGAAAATCTAAAATAGATGAATAATTTTCCTAACACATACCATGCACCACAGTTAAATCAAGTTCATATAAGCAGTTTAAACAGACATATAACCCCTAATGAAACAGAAGCAGTTATTAATAGTTTCCCAAAAAAAAAAAAACAACCTCCCCCAAAAAAATAGGGCCAGATGGCTTTAGTACAGAATTCTATCACACTTTCAAAGAAGCACTAATACCAAGATTCCTCAAATTATTCCACAAAATAGAAACAGAATGAACATTGCCCAATTCATTTTATGAGACCACAATTACCCTGATGCCAAAACCACATAAAGACCCAACAAAGAATTACATTTTCCCTTATGAACATAGATGGAAAATACTCAATAAAATATTTGCAAAGCAAATCCAAGAGCACATCAAAACAATTATCTACCATGAAAAAGTTTCATCCCAGAGATGCAGGTATTGTTCAACTTATATAAATCAATAAATGCAATCCACCATAGAAACAGACTGAAAGACAAAAAACAAAATGATCATCTCATTAGAAGCAGAAAAGGCCTTTTGACAAAATCCAACATCCCTTCATGATAGAAGTCCTGGAGAGATTAGGGAGACAAGGGACATACTTCAACACAGTGAAGGCAGTTTACAGCAAGCTCATGGCCAACATTAATTTAAATGGAGAGAAACTAAAAGCAATTTCACTAAAATCAAGAACAAGGCAAGGCTGTTATTCTGAACTTGAAAAGTGGGGAATATCCTCAAACTCAGCACAGGAAGACTTTCTGAACAGAACACTATTAGCACAGGAACTAAAATCAACAATTAATAAGTAGAACCTAAATGGAGCTGAGAAGCTTCTGTAAGGCAAAGACACCCTCATTCAGACAAAGCAGCAGCCTACACAGAATGGGAAAAGACTTAACAATCACATATCTGATAGAGAGCTAATATCCAAAATATATAAAGAACTTAAAAATTAATATGAAGAAAACAAATAACCCAATTTTAAAATGGGGTAAAGACATAAACAGAGAATTCTCAAAATAGGGAACTCAAGTGCCTGAGAAATAGAAATGTTGAACATCCTTAGTCATCTGGAAAATGCATATCCAAATTACTTTGAGATTTCATCTTACACCTGTCAGAATGGCTAAGATCAATAAAACAAATGAGAGCCCATGCTGGTGAGGAAGTGAAGTAAAGGGAACACTCCTCCTTTACTAGTATGAGTGCAAACTTGTACAGCCACTATGGAAATCAGTGTGACTGTTCCTCAGGAAGATGGAAATCAACCCCAAGATCCAGCTATACCACCCTTGGGCACATACTCAAAAGATGCTTTGTTCTACCACAGAGACTATTAGTCAACCATGCTTATTGCTGCTCTATTCATAATAGCCAAAAATTGGAAACAACCTAGACATCCCTCAACAGAATGGATAAAGAAAATGTGGCACATTAACACAATAGAATATTACTAAGCCATTAAAAAATAAAGTAAAATCATGAAATTTACAGGTAATGGATGGAACTGAAAAACATCATCCTGACTGAGGTATCCCAGATCCTAAAAGATAAATATGGTATGTATTTCCTTATATGTGGATATTAGCTGTTAAGTCAATGATAACCAAGCTCTGTAGAACTACAGAGATTATGTATAGAGTAATGGACTAGGGAATGCATATTGGAAATAGGATAGTTAAGGGTGAATGGGGTTGCTCAAATGGGAGGATCAAGAGGGAAGGGAAAGGCAATAGGAAGCTGAGGGAAGGAACACAAGAAGAGACAGTTAAAAGTAAGTACCATTTGAGGGGAAGTGTGAAAACCTAATACAGCAGTAGTTTCCTATATATGTGGTGATATTTTGTTCATGATCTAACAAATGAAGCTTGCCTGAAGATCACAGTATAAAGCTAACCACACTAGTTAGTCATAGGGGCCAGGGAGTAGTGTTATACACCTTTAATCCCAGCACTCGGGAGAAAGAGGCAGATTAATCTCTGTTAGTTCAAGGCCACCCTGGGCTACACGAAATTGATCCAGTCTAAAAAAGAAACAGAGTTCACACAAAGATGATCTCAGCACTCTAGATCCCGTG